CAGCACAACCACAGGCGGCCGCGGCTGGGTTCGCCCGCGGCAGTGGCCCGCGTCACCCAGGTCCAGAGGCTCCCTAGTTCACGAGGGTCATCAGGGGACCAGGACCCTTGTGCACTTCTAAAATTGTCCCCCTGGGCCCGGGAACCCCCAAACCAGAGAGTGCCTCTCACTCCCGGGATGGCGCGGAATCGGCCGTGGTTGGGACAACCGAAGTCGCCGCGAGGTGGCAGCGCAGTCCCACACAATGCAGCCCCAAGACCAGGCAGCCGAGACTGGGGTTCACGCGCGGCAATGTCGGGGGCACCCCACCTGGTGCTGCAGAGGTTCACTGGGGTCGTAAGGGGAGAGGACACTCTAGTCAACCCCAGGCCACCCCACTTGATTCACCACAGGCCACGCTGTTGATGTTAAGGAGTTAAGAGTGGATGATAGTGGACAGAGAGGGACCCCATGCCTTGATGATGGGAGCCTGTTCCCAGGGTGGCCTGGCTGGCGGGGGAGCTCGGGGCCACGATGCCTGGTGCAGGAGGGTGTTTGGAGCCCTTTTGTTGGGCGCTAACCTCGGCTTGCTGCCTTACAGAATCCTTTGAAGGTATGGGTGTAGGAGTGGCCGCGAGGCGGCAGTACAGACTCACAAATCAGGGCCACGGCAACCGCGGCAGGGTCCACTTGTGACCAATGAGCTGGAGTATGCCTGAGTATGCCCATAGCCACGTCTGGAGGCTTCCACACAAAGGTGGACTTACCCACAGCAACTGCAGGGAACTGTGAGAAGCGAGCACCCAATACTCTATGGAAGGGTGACGGCCATGGGTCTGCCCAGGGTACTTCAGCCCCTCCATACACCTGAAGCCCTGCTGCATGGCCAGGTGTGGTCAGCTCAGAGTCCTTGGCCCTAGCGTCCCAGCCACATCCCCCAGAGCTGTGCCACTTTTGTCTCCAACACCCTTGGCTTTGTTGGGCAAACCTGATGGACAATAGAGAGGCCAAGGGGGCAGGGTGACCAGAATGGCCAGGGAGTGTGGAAGCCCTCCTTTCTGCATTCTGTCATTGAGTCGCGGTGACCGAGATCAGCTGGAGGGGCAGGACAGGGCTGAGGCTGCCACGTGGCTTCTCACCAGATAGTGCCCACAAAATGTGGATGGCCACATAGTGTGTACAGACCACTGGGAAGGGGTGGGAAGGGGGCCTTCGGTGCCCTAACCAACTGTCCCATGGAGGCCACTGTGACCAGAACTAGTTCTGTCACCCAGATGGACCTCAGTGGGGAGTCAGCCAGGGCCCGCCGCAGCCTTGCTCGCAGCTCTTCTGTATAGCTCAGCTGACCTGACCCTGACTGAACTTACTCTGAGTGCTCAGAGCCCTCATGACTTCCCACTCTCGGCCCCTAGGACCCCTCGAGTGGACAAGAGGTCTTGCCACAGTGGTGGAAGAAGGTGGCTGCGTTCCGTTTGAGTTCCCAGGGACTCCAGCCAGGACCCTGGCCTGGGACCGTGCTCACCCAGCACGGGCAGCGCAGGGTTCAGGGAGCGCCGTTCCATGAGGGGAGCCAACGGTTCTTGACCCAGAGGGGGACGTTTGGGTACAATGCCAGGCCCTGTCTAAAGGATGCCAAAGGAGGGGTGTGGGGAGGCTGTCTTTGGAGAATTCCAGGACGGGTGTGGGGTGAGAGGAACGTGCGCTGGAACGGACCAGGGTGGAGGTGGGCCCTGCGGGGGCCCCGGCACGGCCCGCTCTGATTGGCTGGCAGGGCAGGGGCGGGAATTCTGGGCGGGGCCACCCCAGTTAGAAAAAGCCCGGGCTAGGGGCTGAAGAGCAGGGTGAGGGAGGGGGGTGGGGAGGGTGGGGGGTGGGGTGGGGACGGGGAAACTGGGGAAGATGGGGTGCCGGAGGAGAGTCGTGGGGGCCAAGGAGCACCTTGGCTGTCTGGAGTCTGGCGGGAGTGGGGCAGGATTGAGGGGCTAGCTCAGGCAGCAGGGGCGGTCGGGCCTGGGAGCCCACGAGGAGCAGGGTGGGCTCCCAGGGAAGCAGGGCAACATCGGCAGGCAGGGGCGTTGGGCCTGAGCTAGGGCTGCAGAGGAGGGGAGCCAGACACTCATCCCGGGAACTTTTGGTTTCAGGACGTGGCGGCTGGTCGGACACGGGGAAGCTGCTGGGCAGGGCTCGACCCCAGACCTGGGCAGTGGAGGTGTAGCTGGCAGCCGTGGGCAGGTGAGGACCGCCATCTGCCGGGCAGGTGAGTCCACTTCCCTCCCTGGGCCTCGCTGCGCTGGCCTTCTGGATGGAGGTTGGAGAGCGAGGACCTGCAAGGAGAAGTGGCTGTCCTCCCGGCAGAGCGGCAGGAGGAAGGCAGGATGGTCAGCACAGGTGACATCTTCTCGGGGGGAGCCGAGACGGAGCGAGACTGGGGGGCCCAGGGTCCATTCCAGGTGGAAAGAGCATTTTGAGTGGGCAGGATAGAGAAGGGCTGCCAGCAAGGAGCGAGGCTGCTGCCTCCAGGGAGGTGACAGGTGACCTGGGGGTGGTAGTGGAGTCTGTGGGGATCATCTAGCACTGTGGGAGTAGCCCAGGTCCAGGTCGGGCAGGGCGAGGTGGGGTCACAGGATACAGAGGGGTCCCCAGCCGCCACCACATCCCACCCACCGTAATTCATCTAGGAGAAGGTGCAGAAGCGGCTCTGGCGGGTCTCCAGAGGCCTGTGCCAGAGCCTCGAAGGCCGGAGAGCGGGAAAGAAGGGCAGTGCGCGGGCAGCACAGAAGGACGTCACCTGGGGGGAGCGGTGGTCGCGGGTGGCGGGCTCCGGAGAGATATCGCAGCAAGGAGGCTGCAGCGGGCCCAGCCTGCGGATGCACCGTTCCCACGCGGCACTGCGGCCCAGAGGCTGGCGCGGAGAGGGCCCACAGTGGACTTGGTGACACTGTATGCCCTAACCGCTCAGCCGCTGGGTCTGGCATGGCAGACAGGACAGCACCAGGGGAGCCAAGGGCATGGGCAAGGCCAGACAAGGCGAGACGGGCGGGGTAGAGCGAGTGAGCTCTCTAAGGGGGGAGTCGGGGCAGGCAGGTGAGGGGCCACCAGGCGGCGAGCCAACGAGGCACTGGCCTCCAGAGCCCGTGGCCAAGGCGGGCATCACGGGCAGCGACGGAGCAGTGATCGGTGCCTTCAAGCTCAAGACTGGAGACAAGGGTAAGTGCCCAGCCCAGTCTGCTTTCGTGCTGCCCACCAGATCCTCCTTATCCAACCAGCACCCTCTCTTCTCCCCAAAGACAGGTCTCCAGCAGGGGTGCACACGCCAGCCCCCGAAGGCCAGGACGCCAGGCGCAGGGATGTACTGGAAAGACATGACATGGTCCGGTGTGACGGCGAGGACAGAGGGACTGCCGTCCGGCCTTCGTGGTGAGAATGTCCCTCTGCCCGCTACAAAGCCCAGCCCAGCCCACCCTCACAGACACCCTCTTGCTCATGCCCAGCTCTGTCCTCTACAGAACACTCTGGCTGGCACCACGGGGCTGGCTGCCACAGAAGGGTCTGGTCCTTTGCTTTTCCGAAAGAGTCAACACACCACTGCTGCTCTCTGGACCCCCTAGAACCCTCAAGATGTAAAGGTGAGGGCCTCCTGTGGCACATGGGCAGGGCGGGGCAGGCCAGGAGTGGGGGCCTCATTCCGTCTCCACTGCAGAAATGGTGCTACCCAGCTCACGTCTGGGCCTTCAACTCCGGGGACTTCTTCAAGTCCGTCTAGCTCTGGATCAAGAATATGCTGCGTTTGGGAACCACTGCATACCTGACTCAGGAATCGGCTCTGGAGGTGAGCTTGGGGCCCCTCGGGAAGCGCCCCGCCCCCCCCACCCCCCTCCTGCCCCCCCCCCCCCCCCCCCCCCCCACCCACATGTTTTGTCACTCTCCACAGGTGGAGCTGAAGGACCAGGCCTGTGAACACCAAGGCAGAACAGACCCGCAGCACCCGCCGCCAGCCAAACCCCATCCTCGTGGCCACCCCACTGCGCCCAGCGGACCATCAGCACGCCTCCCTCTGCTTTTCTTCTTCCTCCTTCCCTCCAACCTTGTGTTTCTGTCTTTCTTCCTTCCGTCGTTTGAGAGATTCAAAGCATCCGTGACTCTGTTTCCCCACCCGTCCCTTCTGATTTCAATTTGCACTAAGTCGTTTGCACTGGTTTGGAGCTCGGGAGAGCCTTGAGTCTCTCTGTGCGCGTGTGCGTGAGTGTGCGGGCCTCCTTGGCCACGCCGCCCCAGCGCCTGCCTGCTGTCCACCTCTGCCTGGGGGCGCCTGGGCGCCGGCCGCGTGCTTGAGGCCTCGCCCTCCCCTCACCTTGTCTGGAAGCTCCACAAGAGCGAGCCACCTCAAAGCATTCCTTACACTACCTTGCCCAGTGCCCCTCCCCACCAGGGCTCACCAGAGCCCTGGCCTCATCAATAAACACAGTTACAGCAACTTGTCTCAGGGACTGGAATCTGAGCTGTCTGCCTCGGGGTGCGCCGTGGGCTGGGGGATGTGGGAGGGAGGGGAGGTGCCAAGAGGGACATAAGGGTTCTGGGGTGGGGAGGGGGAAAAGATGGGGGTTATAGGATGGGGCACACATCTGGAAGAGGATTATGGAATAGGGAGGGGCCGTGGGCCACGAGGGGCTGTGGGGTAGGGAGGGGTCATGAGAAGAGGAGGGCCGTGGAATGGGGTGACGGGCTGAGGAAGTGAGTTATGGGAAGGGGTGGGGGACAATGGAATGAAACCAGGAGGGCACAGGGATGGAATGAGCACCAAGGGGAGGGGCTCGTGGGAAGCCAAGGGGGTTATGATCCAGAAGGGTCCCCTGGTGAGGTGGGGTCTGTGGACACTGGGGGCCTTGGGGGACAGAGGAGCGTACACACCAGGGGTGGTGGGGGCTGGGATGGCAAGGGGTGTCCTGGGCAATGAGGGAGAGGTCAGACCCCACTCCAGCGCCTCCGGCTCTCCGGCTCTCCGAGGCCACCCGGTCCTGTCTGATCTTGTCCTGGGTGCCGGGCCAGACCCCAAAGGCCAATGTAGGTTTGCAGAACCACATTGCAGGACGGATTTAAGGGTGGACACCAGCTCTGGGAGTCGGGCTGGCCCTGGCCACTCGTACAGGTCCACGGCAGCCTCTGGGCTTCCCCTTCCTGCCCCACCTGGCTCCTCTGCCCTGGGTCCTACCAGCTTGGGAGCTGGGGCCTGGGTAGGCTGAGGTACCCCATCTTCTCACTTGCTGGGAGAGGGAGTTGGAGGCCACAGCAGGGGGACCAGGACACCCACAGGTCTGAGCATGGCCACAGAGAGGGGAGGGGACCAAAGAGATCCAAGGAGACGAGAGAGGTGCACAGGTCAAGGGAAGAGAGGAGGACGGAGAGGGGTCTGGGCGACAGAGGGCCATGGTTGGGGTCTTGGTCCTGGGTGAAAGTGGAGCCCCCTGTGAGAGACCCCAAGGCAGGGCAGCACCCCTCTGAGCCCCAGTCCGGGCTTCCTGGCTCCTGGTTGGAATGTACAGACCCTAGGAACTAAGATGAAGCTCCTGAAAACGAGACTGAGGTCTTTGGCCCTGTTTTCCTCCCACCAGGGGCAATGCTCAGCGCAGTCAGGAAAGAGCCTCCGCAGATTGACAAGAACCAGACCCAGAACCAGGAACTCCCTCCCGCCCGGGGCTGCAGCTCTCCCCTCCCCCACGGGCCCCCGCAGACAGGGACACGTCCGCAGCACCTACTCCTCACATCCCCTCACCATCCCCCTCGCCACCCCCTGCCCCCACCACCCATCTGAGGCCCTAGTTAAGACCAGTGGTGACCCAATGGGCACAGTTGGGTGAGAGAGTCTCTTGAAGCTGTCTATGTCCATGAGGATTTCAAAGGCCAGCCGGCTGTGCTGGGTAAGCCACCTCCACCTTCCTGACCTCATGGCAGTGACTTGACCAAGTGACAAAGTAGCTATCCATCACGTATGGGGAGGGAGGTCTCCACAGGCCTTTATGGTAAACATCCGACCTGCTCGAGATTCCCAAAGCTAGGCTCAGAAGATGAAAGCCAGCCTTCTGAAGAATGGCTGGTGGGCACTGCAGGTGGCCCGGGGGTTTTGGGGGCAGTGGGGTCACAGGCTGTGGAGGTGGGGAGGGAGATGTAAGCCCAGCAGCCTCCTCTAGGGACACAGAAATCAAATCCCAGACATGGAAGGGAACTGGGAAGGGGCCTCGAGAAGCTATGGGCTGTGTCCTGGTCATCTGGAGAGCCGGCCACGCTGGAACCCAGCTGCGTCCAGGCTTGGGACCCTCAGGGTGGCTGTGAATCGCACATTCTCACCCTGGGCTTTCCCCGGGGAGTTCTGAGACAAAGCTGGGGGAAGAGCTTGCGCAGACTTGGGGAGAGTGGAGTGCTCCTTTTCTTGCCCACCCAGGGGAGCCGCTGGCCCTCAGCACCCCCAAATGTCGCACTACCCCTGCTGTGGGCGTCTGCCCCTGTGAATGCCGAGGGTGGGGCAGGGTGACCTGGGCCTGTCCACACAGTCCCTCCTTCTGCAGTGGGCTTCGAGCTGGACCTGGGACAAAGTCCAGTGGAGCCCCTGGAGCTCCAGGGCCTGGGGAGCAGGAAGGAGCTCATGGGGGCAGGATCTCGTGATGCAGACAGGCCAAGGCACAGTTACTCTGAAAACAGGTGCGCAGGGGTCCAGCCTCAAGCCTCGCCCAGGGTGGGGGCTGGGAAAACAGAGGTGGCCCAGCCCCCGCCCCAACAAAGCCCCTCCATCTGAGCTGGGGACCGCCAGGTTGGAATGTGTTTACCTTTGGCCCAACCGATTTCCTGCTTTTTAGAAAAGGGGCTTAGAGAGGGCTGTTAGACAGGCTCCTGGCGCCCCCGCCACCCAAAGGCACTTTCAGAATGCTCCTAGGCTGAGCTGAGTGCAGAGAAGCAAACAGGGGCTTGAATTTCATCCCCAAACCCCAGCAGGGGGTGGGTGGGGAGGGGCGGCTGCAGCAGTGCCAGAAAACCTTGGGAAAGAGGTTTCGAGGTTTCAAGCTCCGAGAGCCTCTACACATGCCCCTGGGGGCCCCTGCACACCCACCCCAATAGGCACCCAGGGTAGGCTGCAGGGTCTTCACACTTGGCCCCCTCCCGCTGGTGTTTCTGTCCAGAGAGAAGGGGGATCATTTCACACAGTGGGGTCACGCCTGCCGGGCCAGACGCTGCCTGTGTTAGCATCTCTAACCCTGTGCTCCAGGGCCACGCACCCCTCCCTGTCCTCTGTCCCGTGTGTGCCCACAGCTGTGGCCCTGTGGGGTGAGGTCTCTGCAGGCGTTTAATGACCTGGGCAGGAATTATAGACCGCAGTGTGGGGCAGGGGCAGATCGCTCACTATATCACTGAGGACAAAATTCCAGCATTGCAAAGGAAACAGAATCCTTTAAACGGGACTAAGGGGACCTTTGGAGTCTGATGACAACAGGCCCGCCCTGAGAAGTCTCCAAACACTGAGGTCGGTGCCTGAGAAGACAAAAATCTCTCTGGGGGAGGGGCATCCAAGTGCTCAGAACTGGGGGCAGTAGATCCAGTCTGGAGGCCCCCACAGCCCTCTCCAGCCAGGAGGGCCAGGAGGGCTCCGCTGCTGGTCAGTACCGACCCAAAGCTGGGTCTAGGCTCAGGGCACTGTATCTCTGCAGCCTGCTCTTGCCTTCTGCAGCAGACCAGGCCTCTATGTGCATGATTGCAGGCGCATGTGGTGCCTGACAAACCCTGAGGGACTGGGCATTCTCAGAGACTGTGTAACCCCCCCCCCCAAAGGGGAAATGGAACATTCTAGAAAGAACTGTGGTCGGCTTTGGTCTCTGCAAGGCTGTAGTAACCATGCTGGTGAAGCCCAGTCCTGCCCACCCTCTCCCCCTCCTTCTCCTCTCCTCAATTTTTCCCCCCCCCCCCCCTCTCTGTGCATAGCTCCCCCAGCCTGCTCCTGGTGACACTGTTGGCCCCTTTCCAGGGCTGAGGGGAACTGGTGGGGGCCCCTTCCTGGAAGCCCACCTGCAGGCCGGCTTGCTGGGAAGGGGCCTGCTCTCCCTGGCGGCTCCCCCCGCCCGCAGCCGTTTCCTGGAAGCAGTCACTGTGGGTATTCTGCTCCTTGTCAGCGCCCAGCCTGCAAATAAAGCAGACACTGTGCTCCTTGTCCTTGGGGAGCCCCACTCCATCACCCCACACCTGGCTGGACACAGGCAGGCAGCCTGTCCACGGGGAGTGGTGCAGGGCGGGGGCTAGACCCATAAACCAAGTGCAGGAGGCTCCTTCCCCCTCTGCTGCCCCGCAGGACACCTCTGTGCCAGCACGTGCCAAGCCCCAGGGCACAACAACTAGCTGTGGGTACTGTGCCCCCAAAATGGGGCACTGTGCAGACTCCAGCGAGAAGCTGGCAGGGCCACAGGGGAGGAAGGCTGCGGGCCCCGCGCTTTGCAGAAGCAACTTGTGCCTGGATGGAAGATTGCAGAGGAGACCCCAGAGCTGGGGCTGCACGGGGAGGAGACGTGGGGGGAGCTGGGCAGCAGCATGTGCTGCAGTTGGAGGGAAGAGAGGCTGCTGGGCCAGGGAGGGTCCAGGTGGGGTCTGGCGGGTTCCTGGGGGGAAGGGAAATGAAGGCAGAGATGGCTTGGAGGCCTAGGAACATGCTGGCTCCAACAGAAAGGGGGACCCAGGGCTGCCCAAGCCCTGGCCCTTCCTGGGTGAGCTACGTCTTCACACTTGGTCCCCTCCCACTGTGCTTCCCACTGGTGGGAAGGCGCCCAGCGGGGCATGTGGCCAGCTCTGGGAGCGCAGGCTGTGGGCTCCAGGCTGCCAAGAGACAGATGAAAGAGGGAGGACCCAGGTGTGACCACAGGGAGCCGCAGCATCCATGTGGCATCATGGGAGTAGGGGTGACCGGTGGGGCTCAGGGCTGTGGGTCAGAAGTCTGAGGCCCACATACCTGAGGGAGAACAGGCCCAGGTCACGAGGCCCAGCTGACCCTA